GCGTTTGTTAGCAATCCACAGTATGTCACGCTATGTAAGTAACACAACGGAAAGTGTGTTCAAGATCATTCACTTAAACAACATGTACAATCATTTAATGACAAATGTACATACAGTCAAAAATTGACAAAATAAATACAAATGACATTAAAAACTATTTACAAAATAAGCTTATCAGGCCTATCTGCACAGTAGCTTTCGATTGGACAATTGGGTGTGCATTAACATGCTGAAGCCTCCAAGGAGTATATGGAAAAGTTTGAAGTTTAAAGTATTACCAGGAAAATTGTTGAAGATGATAAATTCGTAGCTTACATAAATATATACATAAATCGGAAAGGATATCTACTGCTTACTGAAAAATATGACATATCCATATAAGCCTATTTCGGTTCCTTCTAAAACTCAAAAATTACTACTAAATCATGTACAGTGTGCAAGCTTCGATTACTGTGAAAGAGCGAAATGTCATGAAATTATCCACTGGAATGGCCAGAAGGTCGATGAGTTTATCCTCGAATGGAGTAAAAAAGCCCCCAAGTGTGATTTTAGTGATCGACTTAATGTACAGCTGCATGATTGGTTGATCACGGGAATTAACATAATAAGTCTGGAAAAAGTGTCCATCCAAATAGCGAAACATTCGATCAGAGATGCCAGGAATTAATGTATTATTGTTTAAATATAAGTAATTTCACCACATTGCCTAGGTGTCTCAATTCGGCTTGTATTCAATGTCATACACACAAAAAGTTAACTAACGATAATCCCCGTTCTCCTGAAAACATGATAAACAATCCATTGAAAAGTTATAAAGGATAGAATAAAGGCGATCAAAAGTTAGGTAAATGTTTATCGTGTGCTAAGCGTCATACACATAATTCATGAATTCCGCCACGTAAAATGCTTAGTTTTTGAAGAAATACAACACGCTGAATACGTTTGTCCACCCACTCACGTAATGAACGAGAACACAAGTGGTGAGAATCGAATATATATGAACACAAAACTACAGTGATTCTAATAATCACACTTTATCATCATTATAAATTCCAGTACATCCGTTCACAACCAAAAACAATTAAATTTGTCTAACGACGCTTTCCGTAGTGTTGTCTTTGATAGTGGTAATATTAAACCCACCGGTTTACTTACGGAAACGAAAATATAAACCATAAAGCCATAATTGAACCCAAAGAACTACTTGCGAAAAGAGTTAGTGGTCAAAAACGCCATATTCTTAAATATTGTAGTTTAATGATTGCAGATGATAGAAACAGAAAAAAATAGCGGATTCATGCTAACAAAGTGGCTAAAATTTTAAATAAGGATAAATATATATGGGAAAATTTCACAACAAAACTCGTTATCAAATAAATGGTGAAATCTAAACTAAACGCCTGACAGCATGCTAACTGCAGAATGGAAATGCGAAGATTTACGCAAATCTCCAACAATCTTTCTGATGCTCAGGCAGACGATGTCAAACCTTAAAAACAAAAATCAATCCAAAAACTGCTGTGAACTTCTATTCGTGGTCACCGACTGCTAAATGACTGGATCTTGAAACATTGCTCCACTGCATCACGGATTATAATTCTTAACCAATTTTATGTAACATATCCTGATATCTGTTTTTTTTTATTGTCAGCACTAATGATCAACATAGTCTCTTTGCATTTCAAGCACTCACTGTTGTTTTTCCCATCACTTTCAACTAACACTGGCCTAGTTGTATTCAATAATACTGTTTCATACGTAGTATTTATCACGATTCGCCATGCCTTGATTTGTTTCAATTTTACAACGTTTATTCAATCAGACCAGACTATGTTCTTCTGTATAGCGTATAAAACGTTTTTGAGTTGTTAATATTAAGTTATACCAAAACATAAACTCTGTATTCATTTTAAACGGTCCTAATTTAATAAAGAGAATGGATTATACCATAATTACAAAATACCTCAGACGGTATAGAATATGCTATACAGTCAAGGGTTTTCCTAAAAAAACCTAATATGCTATACAACAAAAGGAATATTGAATAAACAAGAGTTTGATACCTGAAAATCTATAAAAATATTCTCGAAAGGGGGGATCCGATGTCTATTTCCAATGGTTCTGGCAGCCTTTCCAAGCAGACAGTTGAAGGTCAACAGTCAGACATTGAACCACGCCGTGACCTTTATTTTAGTCAAACATGACCTTTTTCAATGGTCCAGCAACACGCAACAGTGATAAAAAATATATCTTTAACCAGAATCACGAAACAAAATTCGCGACAGAGGAGACTGAAGAACATAAAGTGTGGTTAACGAAAAACCTGAATAAAGGTTAAATTACAAGACACGGAGAACAGACAAATAAATGACAGTACTGTCAAGTGAAATGCTGTGTAGAGAAGTTTAACATCAATAGCGCCACAGAAAACATGTAAGTGAAGTAGCTTGTAGCTTCACAAAATGTCCATCTTAAATGAATAGGGTTACATTAGGCTTCTTATAATTTGTTGAAGCAAGTCATCCTACCTTTGGTAAACACGCGTTTGACGCAATAAACGTAATGAACCAGTACAAAGCTTATATAAGGATACTGAAGCTTGGTGGTTAGAGTGTGCTTACGAGTTGGTAGCAATAAATGCAACTGGTACCCGCTGGAATCCCTTCCGACTTTGAAAGATGATGGCGACCTGGTTAGTGAACTGACTGAGTTGTTGACAAATGTTTGGCAAGTAAAGAGTGTTCTGATATCCTGGGATGAGTCAATAGTTGTCCCTATCTTTAAAAAGAGTTCACATCAATCATGCGGCAACAAACGGGAGGATAAGTATACTTTAGATTGGGTTCAAACTATTGGCTTCCGCCACACTTCATAGATTGTTCAAAACCCGAGAAAGATTGGCTCAGGAGGAGCAAGATGGTTTTTGTTTTGTTCAAGGGTGTGTTGATCATATCTTAACACCCTACCAAATTTTATAACATGACCATACTTATTTCAGGTCAACAACTGTTGTATTTCTCGATATCAGGGCCAAATTTGACTCGTCGGACAGGAATGTTCTTTGGGATTATCTATCTAAGAAGGATGTGTCTCAGAAGTTTATGTGCATTATGAAAGCTCTGTATACACTCGAAGCAGACGTACGACATACACCCAGCTCTTCCCAGTGTTTCATTCGAGCAGTGAAGCAAGATAAATTGCACAATTTCACCATTCCTCCCCAACTTTGCCGTCGATGGCATCCAGGAAACAGCTCAGATGAATGTAGGTGATGGTGGTATAGATCTGTTGTTCGAAGAAAGAATTTTCGAACCTGAGAATGTGGATGATATTATCTTACTGTTTGACTATACTTGATATAGTGAGAAGGTCGATCGATGACAATCAGGAGTGACCTGGAGGATTAATCTTTTTAAAGTGCAGAATTGTATATACATGAGTATTTGTGCATTCGTTTGATAGCCCGATATGCCTTCTCGCTCACTCTTGTGTTCTCGCTCAGATAGTCAGTTGGGTGTTAGCGCACAACACGTCATGTATCAGTATCAGATTTCGGACTGCTCCAGTCACAGCAATGCCCAAGTCGTATAATCCAAACTTAATAATTTGGCGAACAATGTCCTTATGTGTGGCATGTACTTTGCACTTGGAAGATGCAAAGTACTTGTACAAGACTTGCAAGGTCCTGAACTTTCACTCACCCTTGATAGTGGGCAGATAAAAGTAATCGAGAAGTTTGCGTATCTGCGTAGCTGTGTTAGTGGTGGGAACATAAGCGATGAGATCAATTCACATATAATGAAAACCAGAGCGGCTCACGACAATCTGAGCCAACTTTGGCGCCTTCATCATGTTAATCTAGATTTGCGGTTCGTCCGTGAAAGCAGTCTTGCCCTACGCTTGCGAGTCCTGGCCTGATAACTTTGAGTTTCATCATCCATATCTCCAAATTATCTAGTGTCAACATCATGTCAATAATGCTGAAGTTCGGCAACGTGTATTCGGGCACAACGATGACAATTCAATGGGTATCACAGTCTTTGGCAGATTGGACATGTATTATGGATGTTGTCTTAGAAAATTTTACATAGTGTTTTATTTGAAGATGCTGAAAGGTGATTAAGGTGTGTCACGGTGCCGCGGTAAGAAAAAAAAGCTGTACAAGATTGGCTTCTGTTAGTGCTGCACAACACCCTGGTCGGGGTCCTACAAATGATGCAACACAGTGGCTTAAGACGTTATCAGACATGAGTCAGAATAAAAGCTAGTGGCAGTCGTGCTGTAAATTTTTTTTGCTTTATTCATAAAAGTGAGAGTAACTCCTTTAAGTGGAAGAATCCTTTCTGGTTGTATTTTTCTCAACTGAACTGCTTCTCCTACCATTATTGTCATCACTATTATTATTATTATTATCATTATTTTGTTATATCACTGTCATGCACTAATTTCGATTTATCATTGTTATTTTTTATTATACTCACCTTAATTCATCTCTTCACAACTTAATTTTATTGTATGGCGCATATATATTTTGATGCCTCCTTGTATTAATGTTTATGCGTTCAGATAAATAAATAAACTACGAAAAGTCCAACATTTATTTAAGCTGTTGCGGTTACGGCATTTGTACTCACTGATGATTCCTTTGTAAATTTCACAGGTTGAAATCATGAGTCGATTGAAGCTAGACCACCATGGAAAACCTGGAAGCACTGGACGGCCGTCTCGTCCTTGTATGGGACTCCTCAGCAGTGCGCATCCACGATCCTGCATCACGTGGGGTTCGAATCCAGGACCTACTGGCTTCGCACGCGAGCACTTAACCACTAGACCACTGAGCCGGCATCCAATGGTGTTAAAGCCATTAGGTCCTGGGTTCGAGCCCCGCGTGGTGCGGGATCGTGGATGCGCACTGCTGAGGAGTCCCACACTAGAATGAAACGGCCGTCCAGTGCTTCCAGGTTTTCAATGGTGGTCTAGCTTCAACTGACTCATGATTTCAATCTGTGAGATTTAAGATATGATAAATGGAAGAAACCTTAAATAAATATGAGAACTGAGTACGTTTATGTTCTCAATAAAACAAACACAAACCCCCCTCCACACACACACACATAGTACATAGATAAATAATGAATAATTGGATTACTAGCAGTTTGATCACTCTGACAATGATAATAACCTTGTGAGAAATAATCATTGTAAATTACATTCTCTGATGTTCAATAAATGAACATAATAAGATTGAATTATGGGTACATAAATATGATATTTTAAAGAGTTTCGAAGAGAAGATCACATTTATCAATCTCATATGTCATCGTTAAACAATGATCTACTTAGCTTGAACTTATTCAAAACTAAAACTAATAATCATAATCATGAACGAGAAATAGGAACAATCAAAAAGAACATGATAAAAGGTGATTCTTATTATCAATGAATCAATTAGCATTCATTATCATCACCTAAAAATACTTTAATTAGAAAGGGATATTTAATGAATAAACTAACAGATAGTACCATTAGTAGTATGTCATTATTTATTTATATATATATAAATAATACTAAAGATTTCCAACCAGATCTTTTTAGTCTAATCTGATATCCATCATATGAACAAGATGTAGACAAGTTTCCAAAATGGGGAAAAATAGGAAAATTTAACCTTACATAAAACAAGAAACAAAGAGAACATGACACAAACAGATCAAATCATTTAAGTGAATATAAAGAAGAGCCTATAATAAATATATTTTCAATATTGTGTATACTCAACAATGGAACAAATAAAATACGATAGAATATTAGAAACAGTGAAAATGCATCGTTTTATTTGAATAGGCAATGTGAATAGATGAAGACAAAGTCATAATTATAAAAGGGAAATTTCTTCTTTCATTTTGATTTCAAAATTTTAACAATGTAAATATATCCTGATGATGAATGTAATGTATATGTATACTAATGACTGATAGTTGTTTTAATGATATCAAAATTTATACTTTATTATCATGATATAATTGAGTTGTCATTATATCGCCTGTTGAGACAGTTTGAACAGCTATAGATACACCACTCATTTCAGATAATGAACTTGATGTTCCACTATCTTCTTTTGTTAAATGATTTAGGGTATTTTTCATTGGTTTCATTGAAGATTCAGTCGATGAAGTCACAAGGCTATGATGTCGATTGTGATCATTATTATTGTCATTATAAATATAATTATTATCATTATTATTAATCATAGTTATGGTATGATTACCATTGTTTTTTATATAACATGGTTCCGATTGTGTTTGATTACATAATTCTGTTGAATGACTTGAATCGTATAATTCAAGGCATGATGATTTGGAATTTGATAATGGCTGGATGCCAGTTTTATTATGATTGTGTTTTGACTGAAAATTAAGCACATGTTGCATTTCTTCTTCAACTTCACCTGGTATAAATTTTATATCAATTGGTAAATGTAAACCTTCTTCATGTGCTATCGGTGAAACAAATGGTTCATCCCCATCGTCCTCAATCTCCTCATCACCAGCTAAAGCATAATCTAAGTCGGAATCGTTATCCACTAGATGATTTAGATTTGATTTAACCAACTCTCTTTCTTTATTATTTGTACACGTTTCGACAATAAAATCTTCAATTTCTTCTTCAACCTCAGTATCATCATCAGCAGCAGTAGAAATTGTAGTTTCCATAGTACCAATATTTCCTTCATGATCCATGGTACCGATAGCAACTTCACGTGATCTCGATTTGTTATGTCCATTACGTTTATTTATATCGGATTCATAAAAGTTTTGTATATTATGTAAGAGTGTTTTGTTACGATTATTGTTTAATGAATTTAATTTTTTCATATGAGATAATGCTCCAAATTTTTCAACATTTTCACGATCACATTCTTTCCAAACATGCGTTGCACGCCATTTGGCACGTGATTCTTTCGGTGCAAGAACAGCATTGAAATATAAAATTTCATCAACCTAAATGTAAAAATATGAAATTAAGAAATTATTTAAATTTTCAAAGATCTTGAGTCAATTGAAGCTAGATCACCACGAAAACCTGGAAGCATTGGGTGACCGTTTCGTCCTATTGTGAGACTCCTCAGAAGTGCGCATCCACGATCTCGTCTCTCGAGATTCAAACTCAGGACCTATCAGTCTCGTGCGTCCAGTGCTTCCACGTTTTCCATGATTGTCTTGCTTCCACTGACTTATGATCTCAACTATTAAAATTACTATAACATCCACAAAACCCCTTCCAATATCAATTATTTAAAGGAATTTTACGATTAAGAAAAGGAATTGCAGATATACATAACATGTATACTTAGGCTATCCATAACACGGAGAAATGGCATACTCAACAGGATGCTCTCCGTTGACTTTTTTTCCATTTCATATACTTTTGATAAACAGGTGAAAATCATTTAAATCACAGGTTGAAGTGAATATGAAAGAGATTAAACATAGAAGAGCATTTTCAGTAATTTGTTTTCATCAATCCATGGTAATACAGCCTAATCTAGAATCCTTAGGTTTCAATACAAATGAAGCTTCATTCAACCAATAAACCAACTGATCTATTTTCTCCAACTTCAATCATTTAGGTCACTTATGTATTTATCGTAAGAATTCCATATTATAGGAAATAATCTACTTCATTCTAGGATGGTTTAGCCTTCAGAAAATATACGGGTCAATAAGGAACTTAGAACTACTAATTAATCTGAAGTTTATGCGAATTTTATTTTAACTAGATATCTCATATTTACTGAAAGCAGCTATGGAAATAAATATTCAAGTAAATGATAAAAAGTTATAACCTATGAAATAGATTTAAATCCATGGAGCCCCCCCCATAAGATTGCTGTTAGACCAAAGCCCAGATAAAAGAAGTTTGGGAATAGAGTCAGAAACCTCACCCCATAGAAAACAACCTTGTTAAAACACGGTAACCGAAATAAACGAATTAAACCATTTAAACTCTGCCCTGTGAATTGAGGGTCCTTCATTTGGAACCGTCATGACGCCTCATAGTAAAAGTCGAGATTCTTCGGACGTCACCAGGCTGATGCTCCTTCTGACAATTAGAGGAACAATACAATAGGTACATGGGATGTTTGCACCATGTGTGTAACCGTGACGACCAACCAAATAGCTGTGGAAATGAGACAATACAACTTCGTTGTTCTCTGAATCAATGAAACTCATTGGACCCAAACTGAATATAAAAGGTTAGCTTCGGTAGAGATGGTGTTGTATTTTGGACAACAAAACTGCTGTCGGTGGCACCACGCTTCCCCACCAACACATGCACAGTTCATGTGGGTTTCACCGCATAATACTACAACGGAACAAACCTATCACATTTGCATCAATAAAAAATTCAGATTCATTGAAGAGACAATAACAAAGAGAGGAGTTGATATAGCTTCGGATCCTATTTTGATGGTGGTAGATATGAAGCTGAAGCCAAATAAGTGCTGTACAGCAGGAGAAACGTCATGCCAGAAGTTCAGTATAAACTTTGTTTGAGAATCTGACAAACTCAACGAGTTCGAGATAGCTCTCATCAACGGGTTCCAAGCCATACATTATCTACTAAAAGAAGGAGAAACTGCTATGGAGATCAACTAGAAAGAGATTAACGAAGCATCAGCATAAAAATGTAATCTGTTTTTGGTGGAATTTCATTATCTGAGCTGTGTGGTTTGGTCGTGAACTGTTTTCGAGGACGACAATGTGAGCTTCACGAATGAACCATCAAGCTCAAAGAACCGAGCTAGTAAAATCCTCCATCGTCCCTACCATCTCAGAGTACATCTCTGTTGTCACCCTGGGCAGTATACAGCAATTACCAACAACCGAACAAGAACAGAAAGTCAATACACAAGCTGAATGCACAGAAGAAGGTGAACAGCATCAGAGCTGACAAGCAGAAATACATGGAAGACCTAGCAACGACAGAGGAGAAAGCTGCAAGAAAAGGAAATATCAAACAACTATATGGCACAACAAAGAAACTGGCAGCGACACATTATAAACTAGAGAGATCGATTAAGGACAACGAAGGCAAACCAATCACTGAGACACAAGAACAGAGGAACAGTTGGGCAGAACACTTTGAGTAACTCGTTAATAAGCTAGCCCTACTGAATCAAACGGACATCGAAATAACGCCTACATACACCTTCCTGTAGATGTCGCTTCACTAACGACGGAAGAAACCAAACAAATCAAGAGTGGGAAAGCAGTAGGATCTGACAGTATACCAGCTGAAACACTGAAGTCAGACATAGAGGTGTCATCGAAGATGCTCCACATTTTATCAAGAAGGATATGGAAGGAAGGACAAGAACCAACAAACTGAAAAAGGATGGTACCTGATGTGTTGGCGAGAATGACAATGACTGGTTGCCTGCTTAGTCAGAAATGTAGATAGTCTGACATGTGTCAGATGAATTATATATTCCTCTATACTTTTAATAATTATTACTGATTGTTCATTGTTGTTGGATTGTGTGGTGTTTTGGTGTGGAATTATGTTTACGTTCTAGTCAGGCTAAAACGTGTTCTTGATTTGAATTGTGTTGAAGTCCTGTAGAATAGACGCTGGGAGGGAATCTAGTGTAGATATTCGTTTAAGGTAAATTAACGTCCTATACGTGTAAACGTGAAAAACCAACAGTTATAACAGTACCTTATCAGGATACCAAAGAAAGGAGATCTGAGTGAATGTGAGGACTACAGAGACGTCACACTACTTTCAGTACCAAGAAAACCTTTCAACAAAGTACTACTGATACGAATAAAAGACTTAATAGATGCCCAACCCTGAAACCGACAGGCTGGATTCTGTAAGAATCGATAGTGTACCGAGCGAAAAGGGACTAATAAGGATGTTGGGCTGCTCATACCGGTCGAACACCATTGGTTTGGAACAGTACTAAGATTTTATAAGTCGCAGTTCGATTGGTGAATAAATCATGTGATGATTATCCGCGTTTTAAGTCACAACAAATTGACGACGAACGTTTCGCGAAAAAATATACATCAAATTTGGTCACACATTTGAAGCATGGTTCGGCAGAATTGAAGATATTTTCTGAGTGGAATTTTCTGCTATGGATGATGCTATTAAAGTCCGGCTGCTGTTACAGAAGCTTAGTCCTAACGAGTATCAAAAGTATAAAAACCATATCCTGTCTAAACATGCACTTGAAGCTAAACTCGATGAAACTGCTAACATGTTAAATAAAATGTTCTGTGAACTGTTGTCCTTATTTCGTACACGGTATAACTATCTACAGTTGACTAAAGAAGCCAACGAATGCTACACTATGCACTCCGGAAGAGTAAATTTACAAGCGGAACGATTTAAATCAAATTTATTAACCAGTGATCAATTTTAATGCTCACTATTCATTTCTGGTCTGAACTGTCCCATCGATACTGACCTTCGCATGTGATTTTTATCCAGTATGAAACATGTCGTCGAAGTGACTCTAATAACTGTCACTGCTGAATGATAACGATTAATGCACCTAAAACAGGATACAGCTATACTAGAAACCAAAAGTGCGGTGCTACCTAACCATTCTGTTCATGCTGTTAAGACTAGTCGAAGACAACATAGTACCAAGAGTTATAAATATCACTCGAAAACTTTCTAACCTTCAACTAAATGTCGGTATTGTGGTGCGTGGCACTTATCAAAAATTTGCCGCTTTAGAAATCTTCGATGCACTATATGTGATAATATCGGTCATAAAGAAACAGTCTGCCGAAGCAGAAGAAGTTTGCGGTCAAAGCCAACGAAGCGTTCTAACCAGTAGCAAAACAAGTATATAAACAGTGTATATGCCATACTGGCTCCAAGCATAGTAGATAAAAGAAGGTATGTGAAATTAATGGTTATCCGTGTTCATATTCAATTGTAATTAGATGCAGCATCAAATATACACAGTCTAGTTACTGAATAGTCATACAATAAGTATATATAATAGTAGTCCATTAGTAATTCACAGAAGTTACCCATAATTTGATCTTCACTAGGATATAACAGTAACAAACGTAAGTAATTAAGGACCTTCAGTAATATAAAATTAGCGATTTTCACATTACTGTTACATATATCAGATGATAATTGTTTACAAATGAAATTTTCATATGTTAAATGTGTGGCTTGACAAACAACGTATCCATATATAATATTTTAGAGATATTAAACTAGGGAGTTAACAAAGATCTGCTTGATTTAAAGCAATGCTTTCACTACGTACTAAGTCAACTTGAAAAACCACTGAAAAAAAAGAAGAGATTAAAGAAGTGTTTAGTCCAGACTTATAAAAACTTTAAGCAGTGCTTATTAATAGCTCTATATCAAAGAGGACCAAAATACACTTGATATTGTTTTACTTGATTCAAGTAAAACAATATCAAGTGAATTAAACTTCACCCCATTGCACAAGCAAGTGGCTATCAGGACTCAGTAGCTAAGTGGATAACGCGATGGTGTTTGAAGTGAACGGTACTGAGTTCGAGTCCCAGAGTGAACATCAACTCTGAGATGCAGGTACATCCAACTGACGAGTCCCAAACAGGACGAAACGCGCGTCCTGGATTCCACTGCTAGCCACTATCCATCTTTGCTTATGAGGACCAAAATAATTCACATCACCTAATGAAACAAAATTTATTGAGTAGTTGTATAGAAAATATCACTTGACATTTCCCAGCTTTGGTTATTTTGGTGACCAATAACTTCAGTCACAGCATGAATAACTTTACGGATCAGTGCTATATGTTCTTTATTGATAATTTTGTACTGAAAATAACTTGTAAGTGTACAAAAAGATCATTAAATATTACCTAACTAATTATTGTACACTCACAAATAATCATCAATGAGGTGAAGTTTGTTAAGCTTCAATTGGAACACATGATGTAAGAGTTATATAAGATGAAAAAAATAATCA